CCCTAATGTAGAGAATTACCCATATGTCAATATCAAAACTCAAGAGCGGAGTGTCGTTCCAGAACTTGGAGGTTGGCAAGCTGCATGGTGCTTTGAGCTATCTTCGAAGAGCCCTGCAGATGGAGGCCGTGCTTCTCTCGTCACTTGCAGAGCTTTCTCCATGTCCGTTTTCCTGGAAAGTACCGTAGATATCTGTGCCTACGGCATAGTTTCTGCCGGTTTGCAGGTGGACTTGGGCACTGATGAAGTCACGCTCGCAGGCTTGAAAGCAAGGGTTCGTCTGTTTTTTCAAACCGCACAGTTCCGGGTGGAATTGACGAAGCAGAAGATGAGAAGCCTAATGCAACGAGCATGCACGGCATCAGGCATGTGCCTGGACGGTAATAGACGGTACGTTCCTTGTGCAGGGACTCACCTGAACATCTGCGCTATCCTCTCCAAGTTAGAGAAGCATGACAAGGCCAGTCGTTCACCCTGCTCGATTGCGGGGCTGGTTTTGTCGCACGATCGGCCATGCCACTGCTGTGGCTGCAATGGCACCCTGGGACCCTGAGAGGCGGTTCAGCATGCTCTACAAGCCTTGGAGCTGATCGATCGGTGTGCCCAGCTTTGTGGGACGGCGGACCTTCTCCTAGCTTTGGGACGCACAATCTGTGACCGTTTGTTTTTCCCTGGGACTTGAGACGTCGTAACCTTTCACTCGTAATGATTTGACAGCGATGCGGTGTAGAAGCTGCGACATTCGCTGCCAGGAAGACGAGCACTGCAGATCCTGCGGATGTGTCAGCAGACCATCTCTCAGACATTGAACGCCTTGCGGGGGCGTTTGCTGGTCACACCATGAGTTCTGAGGACGATTTCTCAGTTCTCGCCATCGCGTGACCCCTGCTTTTAGGGGCACCTCTTTCCACTTCACCGGTGGCCAGCGTACGGTTTCGTGAAGGGGCCGTTGCGGCACCGGAGCCTGAGTTTGGAGGTACCACAACGTGGCTGTTGAGCGAGATCTGCTGCAGCAGTACGACAAGGCAGCAGCCTTGCAGCTGCTGTGCCCATACCTTGCCGCACGACCTTACCGAATCACTCTACACAACTTCCCTGTGAAAGGCGGCAGCGGCCTTCTTCCAGGGCTTTCAGGCGCAGTGCTACCTTTCAAGTTTGGAGGTCGTCTTTTCTCCTGCCTTCAGCTCCTCCTTGCAGGTGGCCAAGCGTTGCCTCGGCGAGGCCGAGCTGGATGAAGCGTTGACGGATGAGCTGCTCCTTTTACCACAAGCTTTCACAAGCGTTGATTCGATCTGCGTGTGTTGTGCCAAGAGCGAACGGCGTCAAGAGTGGGGGATTGGCGAGTCCAGCTTGCAAGAGCATTTCGTGCTGTGGCCGGGCTCCGTGAATTCAATGGAACCACTTGAGACAGGACCATCCGCTCGCCGTGACGCTGGGCAAGAACGCAGAAGCAGTGCTCTTGAAATCCCAGAGGCCTGGGTTGGTTTCGATGGTTCGGATGGCAGTTTCAGGCACAAGCTCGCCAAAGCAGATCCTGAAGCGTAGGAGCCGCCTACATTAAGGACCCCTCAGATAGGGTATGAGCAAATCAACAGATCCGTACCGGGTCAGGATGACCAAAGTTAGCTCTGCCACAGCTACCGCGCGGAAGCCCGTGAAGGACACGGGGTTGAGGACTTAAAATCAAGGGCTTTCGATTTTCAGGCTACATGTAGCATTCACGATTGCAAGTTTCGACCTTAAGGAGGCTTCGCATCATATGATCACAGCATGCCATCTTCATAACTTCATAACTGGTGGTTCATCGGTTTCTTTTGCAGCTCATGGCAAGTTCATGGTATTTGTAGAGACTTGTAAGACTTGTACAAGTGAGACAATAGGTTGGACCAATGGAGCACCGGGGCATGGTATTAAGGAATTAGTCCTGCAACCAGTGGGGTCATGCTAGCGCTATGCAGATTGTGTTGGATGTACGTGAACGAACCCCGTTTTTCTTAGTTGAACTTCGTTCCTTTTGCCTGCCACCCGAAAGACTCGCGCGGTGGGCTGAAGGCTCTGATGCTTTCAGGCTGAGACGAGTATCAAGACAGACGCAAGCGGGCTGGTTCTGGAACTAACAAATCCCGGCGCCATAAGAGCCCCGAATCAACTGGCCAGTTGAGCGAATGCCTTTGCCGTGCTTTGGTACCCTGTCGTGTCAGCTAGGCCTCTGAGCAGTAGGCCAAGCACCGCGATTCCAGGCAGGGTTGTTTCGTGAGCTTTGAATTCGTGGTTTTGACAGTGCTCGAAATGGAAGCGCCGCCGATCATCTTGAAACGTATTTTCCTGAATGAGTCGAGCTGCTTCTCGAGAACAGTGTTGAATGGTCCATGTCGGCAAACAGAGACAGAGCTTGAACATCTTGAGATTCTCTGTTGTTTCACTTGCGGAGTGTATCCACTTAATGGTAGACACATAGTCACGTAGTCTCGTGCAGATGAGCCAACTTTTACAAACGAATGTCGGAAGGATGATGCCGAATACAGTCGCCGTCGTTTTTTGTCATATTACCGCCCGCGTTCGAGTACCAACGGGGCGAGTGGGGCAGGATGCAGATCTGGAGCGCTTTACAGCAGGGATGACGGACAGCCCGTCTCTGCTGAGACCCCAGTGAGTCTCGGGTGCTGTTCGACCTCTGACTCTCGGGTGCACGGGGCTACTTGGGAGCTCATTGGCAGCAGATGATGCTGATGGCGTTAGCGTGCCCAAGTGCACATCACACGTTCTGACTTCTGCTTTTCTGTTTAAAACTCTTGACAAGCATTGGAGGCAACAGCATGGCACTGACCCCTGCCTGCAGTGCCTGCAGTTCTGCTACAGTCTTGCTTGCGCTCCAGCATCGGGCCACTCAGCCTCTGTACTGAGGCCAGCCGTGCCGTCGGCCAAACCCGAAGCAGAAATCGAGGAGGCACTTGCATGTGAACATACGAGAGAGGACAGGCTTCAGCGACATCCGTTTTTGTCTCAGTGCCTGTGTTTCTGTCCAAGTTTCGAGTCGACCCGGTCGATTCCAAATGGCCAGGATCCTTCGATGACGCAGCGCACCATTCGACAAGATGCCGCGGAGTGGGTGCGAAGCGAGGCCAGGTTGCCGCTTGAACATGGGTCCCTTGCATCGCAGCCAGACAACGGCGCGGACACTCCAGAGGTAGAAGAGAGAGGAAGCTGCTGGGTCCCTTTTTGAAAGCTGCAGCAGCTGAAGAGCGAACTCTGGACGAGTTGCAACAAAAGCTACCGCAGTCGAGGAAGCCCAAGTTCGGGTTCAGTCTAGCTAAACGGGAGGCAATGCCTATGGTGAATTTAGGAACATCGATCCGATGCAATTAAAACTGCATCTTCAGGCTATAAGGGAGGCATAGATATGAGCAGAGTCATGGACACCGCGACGAGCTGCTCAAATGTCAGGAGGGTGCATGGTCGAGCTTTGCGAAGACGGCTCTGGGACCGGCAGAGGCACCAGCCGAACTTCGTACGAACTTCTCTTCCTTCATAAGTCTCGAAACAATCCAACGACCGGTCATCAACGACATGTCAGCGTTGGGCAGAAAAATTCTGCATTCTAGCCTAGAAGTGCGATTGGAGCAGTGGCCCCGATTCGACTCGACAACTGCGTACGAACTTGAATCGTGAAACCGGTCACCAGTTCGAGCTACCGTCAAGTCAAGCACCAACCCTGATTAGCTGGGCTCAACGACTGAGTG